CCAGGTCGCGACTGCATCAAAGGGCAACATGTCATAAAAGGACAAGATACGGTGCAGAATCCAGGATTTGGTGGCAATAGATTCATGTTGCAAATACTCAAACATGAAGCAGTTTGAAAATATAACAGCCAAGATTGACTGAGAAATCAACTGAGGGCCAGGCTTGATATTGGACAAGCCTGGCCCTGACCAGTGATCACCTGCAGTGTTGCCAACTTAGCATCTCTCTAGCTAGCGTTAGCAAGTATTCAGATTGGAATCTCAGGAAAGAAGGAAAGTGTTTTGTTCCAAATTTTTGGTTTAAAACCCTCCTGTTGTCTTCGGGTCATTTTGACCCGAAGACAACAGGAGGTTATTCTTATTTTTTTCGTCAAGTTCACATTTGAATTACTCCAGCAGAAAATTCCATCTGAGTTGTGAACACTGTAGGTCTGATTCAGGACTGTTAGATTTCAAGTTGCTGTATGCAGTTGCAATTAAAAAAATGTTTTTTAAGGGCTTGTCCTCGGGTCATGTCAACCCGAGGCCAACAGGAGGGGAGGAAAATTTGAAAAGATATCAGTTTTACGGAGATCAATGATGCCATTCCATACTGTTTGCCTGTCCAGCTGTAATTTCCTTAGTCTTCCGGTCAGTCTGACCTGAGGCCTGGGTTTGGTTATCTTTATTTCTTTTGTAAAGTTCACATTTGAATTGCTTGAGCCTAAACTTCCGCCTGAGTTGTGCACACCGTAGTTCTGATGCAGGACTGTTAGATTAGCGTTTCTGTATGCAGCTGCAATTGAAAAAAATATTTTTTAAGGGCTTGTCCTCGGTCGTCATGAGCCGAGGACAACAGGAGGGATTTATTAAGGAGATTCTGAAACAGTATTTTTTTAAAACGCCTGCAACTGTTAGCATCTGAACACTAGATTGAGCAACATTTATCTGTAAGAAGATTTAGAGTGCCTGATAAAGTTTAAAAGATTGAGTTTACCTATATGTGGAAACATCCAGCTTCTGAAAATTTGAAGTCAGACAAAGAAATTAGGAAAGAGGATAACTTCTAAAAATGTAGATTTGCATCTTCCCAATCAAACATATGAAAATAGATTTACCAACAAAACAAATAAACAAAATAAAAACACGGTATTTCAGTTTTTCTGGACATGTTTAGTTTGAAATAGAATCACAAAATGAAATAGAATAAATAATAAAGCAAAACCAATTTCTTACATCGTGCTGAACGACGACACTGCCCTCTAGTGTCGCTACGCAGCATTGCCATCACAGGAACGTCACAGCGCTTCCCAGTTTGAAAATTAATATTTTCTGATCCTTAATGTATCTTTTTTTCCTGATCTTAAACCCTACAAATATAAACAGAGTAAAGTACATATGGTAAATACATAAGGTAAATTCAGTCCAAATGACACAGTGAAGACGAATCACTGAGAACATTTTCCCTTTGAATATTTAGACAATTATCTAAAAGGAGTTCAGCTAAATAGTGCAAATGAAAATAGTTCATTTTCGCCAATTGAAGCTGTTTCTCTCTCGAACAGAAGCTGTCGTAAATAAAATGACAACGTCTGCAGCAGACTGAATCGCCAGGCTGTTGCTGCACTTGTTTAATTAAGTCTATTCAGCTCTAGTGTCATTATCACATCATCATTATCGCATCGTATTTATTATTTCCATGAATAGGCTTGTGTCGCACAACAGACAGCGACACAAATTAGAACCATTTTATGTCTATATCCTGTATCAAATAAACGCCTTTCATCAGAGGTGAGTATAGAACATATGCTTGAAAGGATTTTATCTGATTTATAAGAGACAGAAAATAACCTAAATATGTTTTTGTTGTGGGCTCTTTTTTCTTATTTTTTCAATTGAAAATCACTTGTTCTGAAGAATGTTTTTGTTGATTTACAGCAAGTTATTTTTTAAATTCTCTCCTGTAGATAAAAATCTCCAAAACAATATAAATAGTTAAAACAAAAAAAGACAGAAGAGGAAATACTTTCCATCAGAGTCCCTTTTGAAATGTTATAAAAAGTCTGAATTTTATGGCTCATATTCATTTCTGTGTTTGCCCCAAATAAAGTTGTCAGAACTTCCCCAAAAGTGAAAGGATCAGTCTGTTGGGCCTGCAGTTTATAACTTAAATAAATACCCATCAAGACCCACTCACCCTTGCAGGGGTGAGGAGCTGGTTCCTCTCTCCATCAGTCCTCTGACCTTGAACAGGTCAGCAAGCAAATAAACAATTTGAACATTTATCATGAAACAATTTGAATTTAGAAAAAGTTGATACGCTTGTCTCAATTTATTCCACAAAGTCGTTCATTTTGAGCGTTTGCACCTGAGAATGCGAATGACTGCGGCTCACAGCTTCAGAAAACATATTTGATGTCGTAGTCGATTGATTTGTGGGAAAAGTTGCTGACTGGACAGTTTTCCTCCGGAGTCACTGACACCCTCGCATCCTCCACAGGGAGAATCATTTAAAAAGAGAAAAAGAATGGTAAGTTGAGTGGAAGGAAAAACAGCATTTGGGAAAGATTGGAGAGTCATAGACTTGTAAGGGTGAATATTTTGCCCTTTAAATAAAACAGGTTGGTGGTTTGTCAACAAATGGGTAATGACAACACGGCAGTCTGAGGTAGATGCATAGACATAAAGTGAGGAATATTTCTTGGGGATGGTGTTGCTGTAATAATATGACACAGAACATTATGTGTGTTTGATCCAGAGGTGACGTCGACAAACTGATACAGAAAACTATCTGGTTCTGCGCACAGAGCAGCAACAGAGATAAGACTTCACATGTTTGTGATGCACAGAGAGAGAAAACTGGACTGAGAGAACTAAAAGAGAGGGATTGAAGTCTACGGCATATTCCTCCCATCTTATCAATCGATCAATCAATCAAATTTTATTTGTATAGCACATTTCAGCTACAAGGCATTTCAAAGTGCTTTACATCATAAACACAAAACACAAAGGCATGCAACATAGAATAAAATACCAAGGTTTTGTTTTTTTTTCCCTCTTTTTTCCCTTTCTTCCCCCTTCCCTTTGACACGGAATTTAAGCGCCTGTTACCGCCGGACTCCGGCGTCCGTTTAACCACGGGTATTCGCCGGGCCCCGTTGCCCACAACAGGAAAAATAAAAATAAAAATTACATACATATCCACAAAATCAAATCCATACATATTACATTTCAAATACAATTCTAAACAGGTGCGTTTTTACTTGAGATTTGAAGGAAGTCAGGGTTTCCGCTGTTTTACAGTTTTCTGGAAGTTTGTTCCAAATTTTTGGTCCATAGATGCTGAAAGCTGCTTCTCCTCTTTTGGTTCTGGTTCTGGGGATGCAGAGCAGACCAGAACCAGAAGACCTGAGAGGTCTGGAAGGTTGATACAACAACAGCAGATCTTTGATGTATTGTGGTGCTAAACCATTCAGTGATTTATAAACTAACAACAGTATTTTAAAATCTATTCTTTGAGCTACAGGGAGCCAGTGGAGGGACTTTAAAACTGGTGTTATGTGCTCTATCTTCCTGGTTCTAGTGAGAACGCGAGCAGCAGCATTCTGGATCAGTTGCAGCTGTTTAATTGATTTGTTGGACAGGCCTGTGAAGATGCTGTTACAATAATCAATGCGACTAAAGACAAACGCATGAATGAGTTTCTCTAGATCTGGCTGAGACATTAGTCCTCTAATCCTGGAGATGTTCTTCAGGTGATAGAAGGCCGATTTTGTTACTGTCTTTATGTGGCTCTGGATGTTCAAGTCCGAGTCCATCACTACTTTTATGTAAAATGTATAAAAATGTAAGCAGTGTATACTTTTTCTTTTTCCCTTTCCCCTCTGGATACTGAGTGCACCTTATCGAGTACAGCGAGCCGGAAGGAGGAAAAGAACCTTGAACAACCAAGCCTTGAATGTTGATCCATTCAAGGATCAACATTTTTTTTCCCATTTCAGAGGTTTTTTTCAAATTTCAGAGCCCCTTTAGCACACACTTTTAGCCACTGAGAGTTCAGTCATCACCTTGTTATCTCTTTCATTTACTGACCATCAAACTGGTCAGACCTATAAGTGCCAGAGAATCTGTGGAGTATTGCAAAGAGGAAGACGATAAAACACCAAAACCAGCAATGCAGGTGAGTTGAAGGCTGCTATTAAAGCAACCTCAGCTCCCATTACACTTTAGCAGTCAGAGGCCGATCATATATAATGCACAGTATATGGAGACATATTGCAGAAGGCCTCACGTTTCTGGGTTGAACATCTATTTATTGGTCTTATTCCTGAACTGAGCTACTGAAATAAATGAACATTTCCTGATATCCAAATTTCCTGAGATTGCACCAAGAAGTTTGGTTTCAAAGTTAACTGGATAACTAAGCACAGCTAAGACCAATTCAGAACTGACTAAATCCCATTGTGCTGCCTTTCAGAGCAGCATGACCTCATCTCCCGGGTTGTCAAGACATGTCATCCTCCTCATGCAAACACTGCGAGGCTTATTCCTGAGTCGCAGGATTAAGAGATCCCTGGCTGTGGCCACTTATACACCTCGATTCACACACACACGCAAAAAGACTCCAGTAACAGCAGGCAGCAGCTTTCGCTGTCCAAAGGGATCACAGAGTTTGGTCTTGTGTGTTTGGGGACAGCATGTGTATAATGATGAGTAAACATGGCGCTCTGGTTGTTGCCCGTAGCTGTCGGCCTGATGCCAAGTGATGGCCAATATGCTAAGAGGGAACTGTTTGCACTGTTGCTGCCTGTGTTTTTTTTTTTTCAGATAAATGAATTTATCCTCACAACCTGCACACTTTTTTTATGTACCCTGACATGTTTTTTTTTTTTTTATGGCTTCATGTTTGTAATAACCACAGACGACGGCAGAGATCGCAAGCTGACACAGAAGATGCCCTCTTTATTTACATTTCACATGACATATAAAATGGAAACAAATGTTAGTTTTTTTACACATTTTGAGTTGCTGCCGCCCTATGCAACGGCTGATGTGAACTTTGAGAGAATCAAACTCCGAGTTGTTATATAATGTTTATGAGAAACTGTCAGTGAGGCTCACGGAGCAACCTTTTTCCCAATGGGGCTCAGCTGGACGCACATTATCCTCCATCCTCACATCTAGAGCAGCGACAACAAACAGTGCTCAACCTCTTGGGCACAAATAAGAAACAATCTGCATGTGCTAGGTTGTGTTTTTAATTTCACCAAAAAAACAAAAAAAACAAAGGGCAAGTTTCTCTTTCTGTTGGAGGAAGGACAGCACCTATCCTGGAGAACAGCAATAAACACATAACAATATCCTGTTACGCAATCGAGAAATCACAGGAGCTGCATGACACGTTGTTGCATGCAGCACGGCGGCCTTGAAGAGAAACACACAACAGCACAACCAGAAAAGGTAAAATAAGAAGACAAAACAAACATCGCCATTTCAGGAAAACAAAGACAAGAAAAAAAACCCACAGATGGACAGTAAAATTGAGCTGTTTTCTGTTTATTTGCTTTTACTGGCAATCAGAAAGCTAATGGCTAAAAAATAAAAGTTTTTCACAGATTCAATAAATGTCTAAAGTCTTAATGACTCCCACTATTTTTAGTCAATAAATCTGAGGAAGGTTAGGAGCAAATGCATCGATGCAGAAATGGTGCCACCCCTTCATGTTCAAAATTGTTACAAAGGAAGCAGAACAAATTGTTTCCAGAATCAGAATTGGTCAACATTTAGAAATGAGAGCTCAAATATCGTGGGACAGGCCAGGGAGGACCCAATTGGTCCATCTCTGATCTAGTGTATCTCTAACAGTCACTTTTTCCGGTTTTTCCTTCGAGGTCCATCAGATGCACTCGTCCTGTGGGGGGATAAACAGTCGTCCAGTCACGCAGAGCCGGTTCGTGTTATGTGGAGAAGGACGTCTTCTGATCAGGCAGCAGCTGTGTGGAAGTGCCCTCCTTGTTTTCAGAGGTCAGACTCGTTTCATCCCCGTCAGCACCCGTGTCGCTCTTCTCAGAGCTCTGCGGCTCCTTGGTCTCGTTCTGACAGGCGGCCGGAGCCGAGCCGTCACCCTGGTTCGACGTGGACTTGTGAGAGGAGCTGAGGGAGTTTGTGGGGCTGAGCTGGACGGCCGTCGTGTCCTGCAGGGTGTGCTCGCTCATCTCCATCTCGAAGGCGACCGTCCCCATCCGCATCAGCCCCCACTTCTCCCCTCCCTGGGTCTTCCGAGCCATGTGGGATGAGGGTCTCCTGCTGACCACGCAGCAGGCCGTGAAGAAAGCCAGGGCCAACAGCAAGAGGAGGGGCCCGATGATGATGGGAGGGTTGGCCGCCAAGCTGAAGGTGCCAAAGGCGAAAGCTCCGACCAGGGTGATGTTGATGCCGGCCAGCATGATGCACAGGCCGCAGGCGCAGCACAGAGCCGGGGAGGGCAGGTTCTGGTACCGCAGGCTGCGTCGATCTGGGATGTTGCTGGGAGCGGGTGGTCTTGATTTCTCATCGGGTAACGCCATGTCTTAACAGGATCGGACGAAGCACTTCATCACTGCACACAGAGAGTTTTGTGGAAGAAAGTTTTAGTGTCTTCAAAGTAGCATGAAAGACCGTCATGTATGATCAAATTGTCTTCAGTCAGAGGCTTCTACAGAGTAGCTGTGATACGGACCGTTGCAGGAGATTCTCCCTCCCCACCACCATCATAATCTACAACAATTTGAAGAAACATTTTATTTCAGGACAAATGAAGGATTTTTGATTTGAGGCACACAGATCTCCACAGGCAGAACTGAGAGAATCACAGAAACCATTGCTTACCGTTTATTGGACCCGTCGTCCTGCTGGGCGCCTGGCCGCGCTCCGTCTCTGCATCCTGTTGCACAGCAGCTGCGGGATGAATGTCGTCTCTCCCTCCAGCAGGTGAACAGCAGAGAGCAGCTGCGCTGCTCGCTTATCACCGCTAGGAGCGCTAAGGAGTCCTTTCAAACGAACTGTCAAATCATCCTCATCCAAATATCCTTTGAATGAGGATATTTGGATGACTTTGGCAAAATAGGAATCGGGAAGTTGCTGTTACTTCTTAAACCATTAAACATAATTACTGAAAGGTTTTTATTTGAGGCTATTGCACAAGTAAAACTCACTGCATAAATAAACAAAATACTTCTTCTTAGATGTCATATAAATCATAACAACAAACTATTTCAGAGGAAGCCTCTTTTTTTTTTTCCCACCAAGCAATTATTTTCTACATCCTTCCCTTTTCCTTTGGCCTTCAGCTCGTACAAAAGAACCTTTGAAAATAAAAACTACTGACATCCCCTGAGTCAGAGCTAGTATATTAAGACATAACAAGAGGTGATGTTTCAACATCTTTTTTATTGAGAACACAGCATCCCAGTGGAAATCTGCTCCATGCACAAGAGCAGCTTTGCTCATCAGGTCCTATATCAAAGCTCCGCAGGGCTCCTTAATTGCGCACCCATTACTGCATCTCATTTGATGCCATTACTACCAGGCATGAGGGGAGCGGAGGGGCTCTTTTTATGATTCATAAAGACAAGAGCGAGGGTTTTAACATGGCAAGTAATTGTTTCCTGATGTTGTCTCAGAGCAAATCTCTCTTAATTCCTGCTTGACAATGAAAGCTCTCAGTTGCTGAAGAGATGGGGTGACCATGGCAACAGCGCGAGGGCGGTTCTGTTCGAGGGCGGTTCTGTTCGAGGGCGGTTCTGTTCGAGGGCGGTTCTGTTCGAGGGCGGCACGTTCTCTTAAAAGGGTTAAAAGAAGTTCAGGTGGATCCCGCGGAACCGAACATGAACCGAGAACAAAACGAAGTCGAAACGTCTTTAGCTTCATGTGGCAAACGTCAGCTTGCTCGATCCCTTTTTCTTCCATGTTCACATTTCCAGATACAAAACTAAACAAAACACACTTACAAAAATAAAATCCCTTAAATGACTTTAGGCTGATTTCTTACTATCAAATGTAACATGAAAATAAATCCCTTTGACTTTCACAGCTACCTACAACTTAAAAAGCAAGAATCACAGCTCAAGTCTACAAAAAGAAGAAGAAAAAAACCCCACTCCAAATATACTAAACAACTGAGACCAGCAAAAAATTAAACAATATTTGTTGTAGTGTTTTTAGAGCAAAGCAAAACCTATCTGGAGGATTGAAATAAAATAATAATAATAATGCTCTGCATACATTATATTCTCCTCGTACCACGGAAGCCAATTCAGACAACTTCAAAGAAATGGAGTCATAGCCAAGCATTTCAATGCTAAAATTGTAGATTGTAAATATATTACTGAAAATTTTTCATTCAAATTATGAGATTTGAAGTCACAACTCTCGATTAAGGTTTATAAAATAAGTTATAATCCACATTAAAAGCGTTATGAGGTGGATAACCATAATTTTGACTTGTATTACACTTACTGTTTAAAAACATGTTGCTGTTGCAAAACAAAGGAAAAATGGAATGAAATACAATAAAATGGTTTATCTCAAAAATATGTTACCATTTATAAATGTATATTTAATTGACTTGACTTTAAATATACATTGTATTTCATGTTTATTATAACCTCATCGTTATAAATGGTGACTATAAGTTTATTTTTCTTTCAAGTGGCACAAATGGGCTTCTCTAGCATTCAGTAAAACTAAGTTCATTTTAAAGTACAGCAGTGCTACAGGTAGGTTGTGTTGCAGTGAAAAGATCCTTCATTGTAGCACCTGAATTTCACACTCACGCAATTATACATAATGACGTTTACTGGTAAGATCAATAAAAGGTCTAGTTTTTTCCAAGAATCATCCACTTCTATCTTTCAAATATAAACACAAACATTCAATCACATCCGCATATGGGCTTTAAGAAGCACATATCATCCCTTTTCAGAAGCTTAATAATAAAATCAAAATACTGGAAAATTCACAGCTAAAAAATAAATGTAAAAAAATGGAGAGAGACAGAAATAAAATCAGAAAAAAACAATTATTTTTGCGCAAGGCCAATAAACAGCTGCACCTCTAAAACTCTGTTTTGGTAATGATATGTCCTTGAATTATCTGCTGGCAACAACAGAGGTTTTGTTGTTGGCTTTTTGGTTGAGAATTACCAATAAATACATCTGTAAAGCTTAAGAAATACTTTTTTGTAAAAGCAAAAAGCGATCTCGAGAGTTTAAAACCTAGGCAGCTTAAAAAGTGTCGGATGTAAAGTTAGTCAACTCTGATGCCATGCGAGTGCTCCAATAAGACTCCCTGTGCAAACAAAGAAACAAAACAAACAAACGCAAAATAAAAAAAAATAATAAAAAGAGCCAGGAGAAACTGATATCGCTTAGTGAAGACAGCCAGGAGGGAAGTTGTGCTGGTGGCTCAGGCTGCCAGGTCATCAGAAACAGGGGAGAAGTCCCTGCTGCGCAGAGCGTTGGACTGGGCCCGTCTGCGGGCCAGCCGGGAGTTGGAAGGAGGGGACAGCCTCATGGAGCAGACGATGGACGCAGAGTCCTCCTGCTGCTCGTCGTGCTGGGAGAGCTGCCGGTTGAAGGCGATGGCTTCTGCTGCAAACTGGGTCAGGTCCTTGGTGCTGCTGTTCCTAAAAGGACGAGATTCGTTTTTAAACCACCGATGCTGTCTGCACGACACACAACACGCTAATTTCTTGAGGTGGTTGACCACCACCTCAACACTCTTAAAATAAAAATAAAAAAGGTCCCCTTCAACTCAAAAATCATTTACTTCTTCTCCCTTCCGCTGGCTAAAATGTGTCTGTTTTGTTTCAAAGCATCGTAAAGGCATAAAAACTCATAAATCAAACCTCTGTAGGACACGAGGAGTTGGAAGACCTCTCTCTGGTGCATTCTGTGCATATATATGAAAAAGGAATAAAACAGTTTACTTACAGGATTAAATCAAACAAATCCCAAACCTGAACATAAGTAAATAATACCGACCCCCTGTAACCAAGGATGCTGCAGGACCTGAGCAGCGCTGAGGCGCAGAGTGGAGTCCCGAACCAGCAGCTTTGATATCAGATCCTTGGCTCCGTCTGTGATGTGAGCCCAGTCCTTGTCTGGAAACTCGTACTTCCCCTCCTGGATGCTCTCAAACAGGAAACTCTGAGGAAAACAGTAGGACGTAATCTTTCTTCCTTCCAAACATATATGTGGTCACATTTTAATAGACATTTTAAAAGACATAAATAAATATGAAGGCCAAAGTTGCTTGTTCAGTTTCAGAACAGTATGTAAACACAAATACATTTGATTGTTTTGGGTTTTTTTAAATTTTCAGAAGTGACTAATGTACAAAAGGTATTTCTTGATTTAACTTTCTTAAACAGTGAAACCCTATATCTTCATGGTGAGCAAGTAAAACTTTTTTAAACATATCGCTGTTTAAGGTGGTGCTCCACAAGAGCAAAAAAAGAGACCACTGAACTCTAGAACTGTCCAAAGGAAGATAGTATTAGAGTTGGGAGCCGCTCAACAGAACGCTGCATATTTAGTTTTTATCTTAGTATGGAAAACTATCAACAGGCCCCCGACAGGGACATAAGGCTGTAGAAATCCTCTGATGTAAGCTCTCCAAGTCAGAAAAAGAAACTTTAAACCTGTGTCTCTTTTATCCCAGACATGCATTTTTTTCTGGTGTAAAGATAATAGTTTCAGTTCCGTCTTCATCCGACTTCGGCAGAGATACATGCATTCGTAGGTTTGCTGTCAAACTCTTTATTTTAGGTCTTTTTCCTCCCACTTCATAGTTAATGACTGTCGGTCCAGCCCATAAAGTCCTAATGAAATGCAGAGGAATCTGTGGCTACAATATGACAAAAGTGAAAATGCTCTAGGGTTGGATTAACCCAACCCTAGAGCTGTAAGATGCATTAATGAGGTGCATTTGCATAAATGAACTTGAAATACTCCCTGTTGAACATTTACAGGAATTTAATGGCGGTATAATAGAATCAGCAGCATTCAGCTTCTATCCACCACAAACTGCAAAACAACTGAAACACTGAGTTCCCTTAAACCTAGATTATAAACCACCAACAGTTTATTACCCTCATCAAAATGCAATATTTTGTATGGTGTTTTCTTTAAAACTTTGCAATTTTGTGTTTTTATTACATAATGCACCTTAAACTGCCTTGCTGCTGAAATGTGCTATACAGATAAAATTCATCTATCAACACTAAACCTGCTATTTGCTATTTCTCTGGTCCATTACCTATTTGACACATGTAAAGATTTATGTAAGCATTACTTTATTTTACTTGTATGGTGCTGGAACTGTAAAGTTTCATCAATGCATGTAATAATGTGTTTTTGGCAGGCTTTATAAGCACAGAAACTAATTTGAGAGCATACCTGGCACGCTCTGCACGCTTCCCCCCGGTCCCACCCGCAGTCGGTGCCACAATGGCCTGTGAAGGGGGGGCTTCCACTCAGCAGGATGTAGAGGATGACCCCGAGGCTCCACAGATCACAGCGCTTGTCGTAGAAGGAGGCCTCGTCGGTGAACGCCTCCACCACTTCTGGAGCCATGTACTCGGCGGAGCCGCACTGAGAGAGCGAGACGTCACCGTGTTAAAAAGCCACATCCAAGTCGTAAATCGGAGTTTGGAGCGAAATGTTATGAGCCTGTACCGGCGTGGTGAGCTCTGGCGTCGTTATGGGAGTACAGGCGCTGCTGAGCTTTACTCCACTTCCCAGATCAAAGTCGCAGATTTTTACTGGTGACACCTGAGAGAAAACAGAAAGGGGAAGGACATTTATTACAGCCATAACAAATATGTACGGGGATAACTGTCTCCCTTAAAGCTTAATAACGTCACTTACCCGGTCAGTGTACTCACACAGGATGTTTTCCAGCTTGAGGTCCCTATGAGCAATTCCTGAGAAATAAAAAAACACAGTCCAAAACAAATCTTTTTCATGTCAAGACTTGAACATATAAACTGTTCAGAAATAAATGTACCCTTTGTGTGGAGAAAGTCTAAAGCTTGCGCAATGTCCCGGACTACCTTGCTGGCCTCCAATTCATTAAAGTGCTTTCGGTTCTGGATGTGTGTAAGAATGGAGCCTGCGGGAAGAGACGAGGGTTACAGGGCCTTGCAAAAGATTTCAGGGAATGAGGAATTTTTCTGCCATAATCCAAGAGCACACATTTTCAGTCTGAAAGCAGGAGCTCATATCTTTTGTTCTCAAAACTTTAATACTATTGCTAACATTTTCACTTTGAAAGCAGGACTTTATGCCTTTCTTCTCAAAACTTGAAATGCTTGTTCTCAAAACTTCTACCTCGAAAGTTGAAAGTGTTGTACAGACTCAAAATCTGTGCTCTTGTGTTATGGCAGAATAATTCCTTCATATTCACATTCCATTTCATTTTTGGCATTTTGAAAAGAAATTCAGTTTACTAAACTTTTTTATGCTAGTTCAACACATAAAATCCCAAGAAAATGAATTAGATTTCATTGTATTAATTAGAAAAAGCACATGAATACTTATGAATACTTTTGGAAATACAGAGAAACAGATATAAAAAAAACATGTCAGATGTGTGCAGACTGCACTGTTGGTATTTCATACTTGCCTCCACACAGCTTTTCAAACACCAAGTAAAAGTACGAGCTGTCTTCAAAAAACTGGATCAGCTCCAAGATGTTCCTTAACAGAGACATTCAGAGCTGTTTAGAATCAGTTTCATTTATGTTTGAGTGTGTTTTTAACAGAAATTATGTGCAGATTGCATGAACCCACTTGTTTCCTTGACACTGATAGAGAGTCTCCACCTCTCGAAATACTCTACTCCGGCTGTGCCCTGCGGCCTTTTCTACGATCTGCCCAAGACGACACACAAGACGCTGTTTAGTGGTTTGTATAAAAACACGCAGTTGTGCTTATCTGACAAAAAAATAAAAAAAAGAATTACTCACTTTCACAGCAAACTCCTGTCCATTTTGCAGGCTCACACATCCTTGAACTTTAGCATATGCCCCCTGACCAAGCACCTCATCTGTCAGTTTGTACAGATCTATGCGAGAGAAAGCAAAGGCATTGATGCTACTGTTGCTCGTTGTCAAGCAATGAGGACGACACTGTCAAAGAACTTCATTACCATTAAAGGTGCCTGTGAAGCTGTCTGTTGCTCTGGTCCGTTTCTTCTTTCTCCTTTTGGAAAAATCTGGGATGTTCACCGGCTGACTTTTCTCAATCTCTGCAGCAGAGCAGAGAAATTACATGTGCAGATTCAGAGTTAACATTTGCTGGAATGTGCTACCATTCAAATGAGCTCGCGTACAGCTGCTACAACCATTACAAGTGGTGCATACCTGCTGTACCCTGCGAGGGGGGCTGCGGTTCTTCCGTGATGTTCCCATTGTTCTGGATTCTCGCACAGGTTTGCCCTACTTGGCCCACAGCCAGGGGGTTACCCTGTGACACAGAGAAGCAGGCCGAACAGCAAGGGGAGGGGGAAAGGGGAAAAAGCGAGAGCAGCCAGAGAAATCAGGTGGTGGTCCAGCAGAAAATGCAAGAATAACAACGAATAATATACCCACTCAGGCTTGGTTGTTCAATTTTGCGAAATCTTGTTCTTACAATTTCCTTTATAAGAAGTCTAAATAAAGTCATAGTTGTATTTCTGTCATTAGAAACCCATCTCAACCCTGGTTACAAATGCAAATCTTCACCCAACCGCTTAGAGTGAATGACTCATGAATTATGGTCGAGCTTCTGTTTTTATTTCATCAGATAAGGCCAGGCAGAGTGAGAACTTCTTCCAGTCAGTGCACCATCCTGAAACGCGTTTCAGGAAGTGAAACCAGGGAGATCGTAAGAGACAGGAGCAGACCAAACCTGGTGAGGATGCTGGATGGTTTGCAGCTCCGACATCACGCCGTGCCTCACCATATCTGCCAACTAAAAGATCACAAACGGAGTTAGTGAGCAATTCAGTGCAAGAAGCCGTGACAGTAAGTCACACAAGTACATAATTATGTAGCTTCTGCAGAAATGCACGTCTGAATTTGTCAAATATTTTTAGTTTGGGTGCATTCAGTCCAAAGCGGATCAGCAACAGATTGCACAGTAAATAATTGCTTTACACTCATTGATTTTAGTTGTATACGAAGTAAACATAAGGTAATTTTTTTTTATAAAATGCGGTTGTTGCTAAGTCATCAACAACCTGATTACTTACTCGACCAAAAGAATGGAATTAGCAGCTCTGTTCGTGAATAAAACATACTTTGTTTTTATGTTTTTTTTATCTCTCCCTGCCAGCCACTTAGCCCTCTGTGGCTAACTTTAGCTAACCAGCTAGGCTAACTTCTTCCATAGATTCATTTCCTAGTTGACTGTTGACGCTGAGGTTGTCGCGAGACAGCTCCAATAGTTAGGTAAACTACAATAATAATAAAACAAAAACACTCCAACCTGGACTCCAGAGCAGCCAAATCCTTCCTGTCAAAGCCTCCGCCGCCAGCTGATGTAAGCTCCCATTGCTAACTGAGGTCAGTCAGGCAGCCAATGACGCACCGGGCGGGAAAACACATCAACAGCCCGTCGGCCCGTCCCTTTCGGTTTCTCCGTGTTTCTATTGGTGGAGACGTGACGTGACTCTACGTGACTGGCTCCGCGCCTCAATCCACGTAGAGGGGGATTTTTGGTGCGTGACGAAAGACGTTTTTTCGCGCAGCCTCACGCCCCTTTCAGAGGGCTGGCGAGTCAGCACAAAGAGCTTGGACGATTCAAACCGTGTCACTGTCAACCATCACTGTTTTATCATGTTGTGTGTGACACTGAATAATGTCCAATGTGAATTTTGACTACGGAGGACTAAAAGTACCACAGTTCGCCAAATAAAGAAAAAGCCGATTATAAAATCAGTTAACAGGATTTTACAGGAGTCCCCCCCACTTTGGTTTCTGGGCTTTGGTGTCTCCCCTCAGGATGTAGACTTTGCTGTCTCGGATGTAGGATACAAAGGAGACCATCCATATCCTCAACTTTATAAATGAATGTTCTTGTGTTCTTATATGTAAATAGGATTTGCTGTTTTTCTAATGTAAGCATAAAATATGTAGAGTACACTTTTATATGAGCTGTTTCTAGTTCGATTACCCACTCGAACCACTTTGAAACCAATAATCTTGAAAAATATGGATATGCTTTATATTTTCAAATCCCCAGTATGTCACACAAGATCACACTGAACCAGGTTCTGCTGGAAATTTCTTCCTGTTAAAGGGTAGTTTTCCTTTCCACTGTCGCTACATGCATGGCCACCACAAGGGATTGCTGCAAAGTCAAAATTTGATGAATTGAGATTGATTGCATTGTTTGATAACTAAGACCAATTTAGAATATACGTAGCCTGCTTTTCTTTTTTTTTGTAATTTTAAAAAGAGTATTAGTTGTGAATTGCCACTATACACAAACAAAATCAAATCAAAACAACATTTAGACTTTTTTGTTTATGACCCTTTACTTTTATGTTCTAGGTTTTAATCAAATTTAATCTTTTTTTGACAGATCCAGCTATTTTCTAACTTAAGGGTTTTTGTTTGCGATTGGTGTGCAATATTTGAAGCTGTGCTTTTACCATGCTTTTATTTTGCAACAATCAAAAAGACGATCAGAGACGTTTAATAAAAACATTTATGACCAAAAAAGTTCATATGTCAAGAACAACACATAAAAACACAAACTTGAAGAAAACCCACTTAAAATGCAAGGACAAAAAGAAGTGGCGTTTTGTCAAAGGTGGACACAGAAGTATAAAGATATAGCACCACAAAACGTGCACTGTCTCTGAAGATACAGCGTCTCTTTGCAAGGGAGAGTGGAAGGCAAGTGAAATCCATGAAACTGTCTAACGTTTCGAACGTTTTGCAGATGGTATTCTCTCTGGGGGCTCAGATAACGTCATAGTGTGAACTCCTTTGTCCATGTGCTTCTCGTCAAGTACATATCTTCTCTGTCATCTCCCTCTGCAAAGCGAAACGAGGAGCGAGTTAACACAATAAATATTCAGTATTTCCAAAGAGGTCCGTTGTGATAAACGGAAATTAGAGTTTCAAAATGAAACTGATATTTGGATGTGAGAATTTCTGCTTTTGTTCCTCCAAGACCAATAATGAGGAAGTTTAAAAAAAAAAAGTAATAAAACAAAAACTGGATTTCTTTTCTCGGCTAATGTTGAAATAATTGTCTCATCTTCATTTTTATTTCTTCGCAGAAAGAGCCCCATAGCTCAGGCTTCATAAGAAGAATAATTGAAACCTTTCGCTGGCACAGAGAACGCTGTTCTCCATCTGCTCTGATGAGATAGAGCTCTCTGCTGGAAAAATGCTACAAATTACAGATTCTTTTCTCATTACATGACTGCAAAGACTTGGCGTGTTGTTTTAGGCCAACTGCTTCAAAGCAGTTAAAATCTCCGTTGGAGATGGAAAGTTGAGGTCAAGAAATGTAACATTCATCCATTTGCCATCAATAGCTGGACGGAAAATTGCCATGGAGAAAATCCAGTTGATGTCTTAAAGTGCTTTATATTTTGTCACACTGTAGCCCCTCCAGCCCTTTTTATTTTGTCAAGCAGCTCTGATGAATTGGACATAATGGAAGTGTGTTGAAGTCTGGATTTTTTGGCCCAGAATCAAGCTCCATTCATCCTCCCATTAACTCTGACCAGATTTCTGGTCTCTCTTCTCTCTTTCTGGGGAGAAATATTCCTGCATCATAAGTCTGCCACCATCATTTTCACACTTGTAATGGTTTGTGCAGTGTTAGCTGCACTGAAACATATTTTACATGTCGTTCTAAACAAAAATACAATTTTGGATATCATGACCAGAGCACCTCCTTCCACATACTTGATGTATAAACTGAAAATAATGTGTAATTTCTCTTCTGTAACATAATGATGTAGTAGTTTCTATTGGTCAAGCACTTAAAATCCCTCTAAAATTGTCAAGAGACACTCAACAGGTATAAATACTTTTACAAGCCATTGTTTGTCTTGTCTATGGTGAGAAGGGAATAGGTTTTCTTTTGTCTTTGTACCAACCTTGCAGACAGAAATGGTCGGTATCCTCTGCTTGACGGACAGTTAACAGAGTAGTGTGGATGTTAAAAACTCACCAGAGGCTCCAATTCAGAGTTATCAATGAGACTGAACTCTGAGATGAAGTAGTAGTAGTGTTTGTAGCAGGTGTTGATGTGGGCCTCAGCGCCCATGCTGCAGATGCTGTCAAAGTGATGGATGTAAACATGCACAAACACCCTGAAGAGACGGCTCAGGATCTTCTTGCACACCTGCTGGAAGTTCTTGGGAAATGGTACACCTAAAGGAAAGAATCAAGAAATAAATAATGTACGATTCTTATGTCGACATTGTGTTTTGACCAAGTAGGGCTTTGACTGCAAAAAAAAAGTCATCTGAAAACTGCTGTGTTTCATTCTATTATATATAAAGTCAAGACAATAAAACATTCTGAAAGAAGTCAATTCACTGAGGTACGCATCTGTATTATGTGATTATTTTCCATCCTATGATAAAAACAACAACAGCTCAAGAGGAAACATCGTATTAGAAGTACTTTAAGTGCAATAACCAAATGGTACGTAAAGGTTTTGCTAGTCGTACACAATAGTATAATTGTTGTGCATGTTAGCCCGTACATTTTTATAAATTCATTCTGGAAAGTGATGGAAAAGCTATCAAATTGTGGTTCTTCAAGAGTCTTTCAGAGGATAATTTTGATCTGAGAGCTACCTACTGAACTACCCCTCATTTATGCAAGCACTTCTCACTTCTCATTAAATAAACGATTATGCTTGTCATTAAAAAGTATTGCCACCGTTATCTACTCTCTGCTAAATACCAATATCACCTTCTAATTAACCTCATCTTGAACTCAATCTTCCGGTTGGAAAGCATAATGAGGTTGCATAGCAGGTTGTCAGCCAAACACATCACTGCACAAAACGCCTGGTGCTCTCTCAGACGATGCACTCAGTGACACCTTTTGTTTGCAAAGTTCGCACACACACCTACTCTGGTGGGGAAAATGTCCTCATTGTTGATTAGAGACTCTATCCAGTCCATCAGCAGGTTCATGTACTTGATGGCGGGCAGCTTGGTGGGCTTCTTGTAGTCCTCACCATCCTGCCATCTGTACTCGTACTTCAGGCCCCCGGACATGATGGGGCACGTGCGCTCGCTGCAGTACTCGCTGACGGTGCCATAGATCAGGTTGATCCTGTTGAAGAAATCCACCACGTGAACCGCGATCCAGTCGTTGAGGTTCTCCCCCTCAGGCAGCTGTACCACCTTCCTCAGGTCCAGGCCTGACTTGAGTGAGGCCTGGGCCTTCTTGTAGAGTTCGAAGCGCTGTGTGCCGGGCTCAAAGCGCTTCCTCGGCCTGAATGTTTTGGCTTTGCTGAACACTTGTCCAAGACACAGCGCCATTGGCTTCCCCCGAGATAAGGGGAGATTAGGGTCTCCACAATGAAGAATAAGTTTAAGTTTGACAAAGCTGAGCTTCCTGAGTGAATGAGAGGGAAGAGCCTGGTTCAGGTTACCACGGGTCTGTGCCTGTCATGTGAAGATTTCCAGCTGAAATCTTTCTGTAAAGAGCAACAACAGATGTGTTAGACATGTCTCTTTCCTGTCAATCTACTTGTTTCGTCAGTGTCAGTCCAACATTGTGAAGGAACCAACACAAAATCCTACTAGTCGAACATGCAAATGGGTTTAATTAAGAATAAATAAAAAATGTTTTGCTTCATCAGCTGGGATCAAATCTTCCTAAATATTCGTACTGCATGAACTTTTTTAGGGATTTTATGTGATAGACCTCGAAGTGGACCCGGTAGGCCTGCATAGTCGTGATCTGAAAATCAAGCATGTTTTTTGGTTGTTGTTTTTTATCTTGAAATCCAAACTCACTGAATAAGTGTTTAAAAACAAAAAAAAAAAAAAAACATTTTCCTTCTCTGGCACAACCAAAACTAAACATCTTCAGTAGTGACATGGCAGCTGGTCCTAGTTGATGGGAAGATTAATTGAGCTAAATAAAGAGCAAAACTGGAAAGAAAGCTGTTGGTGGCCTCAAAAAGGTGGCGTTCTCCTACCAGCAGAACAATGTAAAATATGTAAATGGAGCTCAAACGAGCTGAGAATGAGCTTTGGCCCAGTCAAAGTCCAGAATTAAATTCAATTTAAAATACATAAGGGGCTCTAATTATTCTGAGATACGGAAAGTTTGTAAAGAGAAAAGAGTAAAATGTATGTCTAGACAACAACCTGGTGAACAGCAGATGAAAAGGCACAGCAAGATTGGATCTGCGTGAATATGTGGTTTCAATTTCTCACACATTCTTCAAGATCCACAAGACACACCAAGGCGAGTTTCACTGATACCCCTCCAGCTTCAGCACACAACATGTATGCTGCTGAAGCACTGATATTTTGTCAAATGTGTAGTTTTCAACAGTATAGTAAACACAGCATAAAAGCAGAGAGGAACAACCATTATTAAGGTCACACTTTTGGAGGAAGAGGAAATACTGACTGACAAGCAGCAACATTTCATTTTATTTTCCATGATGATGGAAAAAAGAAGAACGAAAGGCAGCAGTGGGACACAGTTACTGCATCGTACCAGGACCAAGCAGGGAGAGTTAAGTTTTTTTACTCTGACTGCATGTGCTTCTTGGGACAATTCCTCCTCTAAACTATCCACCTTGCTCTCTGGCTGAAAAAAGGACTTCTGGACATTAAGTAATTGGGGCTGTTTTTCACGTCAACAAACACAAGCACAAAATTCTGACCATCATTCATCAGAGGGACAAAACGTTCGTAGGGGGGTTGTGACAAGAAGGGGCGGACAACATGAACAAAATGATACAAAATGACTCGACAACACAGAAACCTGACGCAGTTGACTAAAGTAAGTTAAACACAAAGGCAATCCACACTCTTTAGATTTTTATTTGAGAAGGTTTTTTTTGTTGTTGTTTTTTTTTTAACTCAGTTTTCTTTCCACTTCCCAGTGAAACACTACATTTCCAGACCTTTTCCTGACCAAACTGTTGCTCATGATAATTTGAAAGTAAACCGTGTAACAATAAACACACATAACCTCTGAAGATAAGTTGTGCCTTTATTAGCGCCTTTGAGGCCTTGCGAGCAAAATGACCTTTTCAGTTTGCTTTAAAAATAACAACAATTTGTTGGAACAAGAGTCAGGCCACTCTACTCAAGCCTAATTGAGAAAATAAATGCCACACAGTCACCGTCTACAGATTAAATGTCCTCAGTGAACTGATCTCATTGGTGAGATGAAGCATCATGACAGAGACCCCTAAATCTTTTGGTAAATAAAACTAAACAGGAAAAAGCAGATTGAAAAAAAAATTACTTTGAGAAGAGATTGAAGTTTGTTCAATAAGGCATGAGTGATGTTTTTGGGGTCATGAAGAGTTTCTCAAAGTGAGTTGTTTTAATCATTCCATCGTGTTTATTTGAGAAGCCGCCCTTTAATTTTGAGCTGTGAACGCACATGGAGTCACAACAAGTTTGAGGTTGCAATACGACACTACTGTATATCCGCGTTTGTGTCCCGAGTCCCATTTTTAACTGCAGATCTTACCATTTCCTGTTGCTTTTTTCCTTCCTGAAGCCACCATGCCTTCTAAAAAGCAGGAACTTCACTATCATTTGACTCCACATCACAAACGAAGCTGTGGGAACTTTTGTACATTTGTGCACCAAAGAGTTTTGTTCGAATGGGTCCTAGCAATAAAATCATAGTTTCAGATGAAAAGGCAAAAAGAAGCACGCAGACTAGTTCTCAGTAAAAAAAAAAAAAGCAGCATTCACACTGGGATTGCTCTCAGTTCACCAGAGTGGAAGAGTGAATACGTGGTCATGGGACAGCAGCTGATGTGCCAATAAAAGAAAAAAAGGGGAGGCACATTTCCAGAGTTTCGTTTGACGAGTATGGGAGACCTTTCTTCAGCCAGAAGCAAAACACACACTAAACTAGTTTCAAAACCCATCAACAACTGGGAACATGACAGCCAAAATGATGACAAAGTGACGTTAATTTTGTTCGCTCTGCAAGTCTCAACAACCTCAGGCTAAAACAGGTCTAATCCTGCTCCGGGAATAACAGACACTTCATGCATGCTTTTCTGATCTTAACAGTTTGTCTCTGACACACCAGAGTGGTAGACGTGCACAGAGAAGAGAAAAAGCAACTCCTACAGAACAGATAGGATAACAAATAAATAAAAAAAAGAAGAAGAATGCACGATTAAGTGAATGGATGAAACCCTCAGCACTGTACCTGACTGAAATCCCTCGGCGGAGAGGCTGGGATGTGGTGGAAAGTTGCTCAGAGAGGATTATGCTCCCTGTGGAAGTCAGAGCCAGCTGTTCCCTCTCTGGCTGCTCTCAATCCTGCCTCTCTGATGGTCAACCGGCAGTCCGAGTGGAGCTCTGACTTTGCTCGGCAGCACAGACGACACAGAAAAGCATAGAGAAAAACTGTTTGGTTTTTCTTCCTGTGAATGATGTCACATCCTGACTTTGTCTGCTGGCCTCTGCTGTATACGAATGTATGTCCACATGTGGGTGTGTTTGTAGAGAACCTATAAATTTAAATAGAAGAAGGCTTCCCAAAGCATGACTCTGCCCTCTTTCTTTTCTTCTTCTTTTTTTCCCTTTTGTCATTCAGTAAGACGAGTAGCCAGCCCACTTACTTCACCCAAGCCCAGCCCTCTGGTAAAAGTCCTAAGAAAACAACCCCTTCTCATGAACCACATGTTAGACAGAGGCAGAGATCCCAAAAGCATTTCTGGATGCCTGGGAGTCTGGTTGTCTTTTTTTTTTTAAGTCTCAATACTATACCATTAAAATTCTTTGCGTTGTCGAAATGCTTGAGCTAAATTTACAATGCTCAGAAAAAGGGCAGCTCATTACATCTTAATGTGATAAACATGCTTTGAATCGTGATTGGGCCACCCTTAGGAGGTAACTATTCTTATGGTAGTTGACCCTCCCTTTTGTCTTGGAGTGAATGGGTGTCACTGAAGTATGGGTGTCTGTTTCTAGAATGAAACCCAACCTGGCAAAAGAAAAGCTGAGTATGGACTCGTTGTTAACGGGTGCCCTCTTGTGTGGGAGGAATACGAGTGTGAACATATGTGTGGGCTATGAGATAAGTTAACATCTGGAGTTTCAGTGAGTTGTTTGTAAAAGGTATATATTATCTTAACAAGCCTGATTGGCTCAACCGGCTGAAGAGGAAGTCAACAAGCCAGAGAAACAGAGAAAACTTTCTTTGAGTCTGGTTCTGCTGGTGGTTTATTTATCTTAGAAGCACATTTTTTTCTTAAATAGCTTTGTAGAATGGTAATTATTTTATCCAAACTGGACACGCTGATTATTTTATGCTAATTTAACTGCTGCCTAAAGACTTATGTGAAGGTGGGTTTATTTTGCTTTATTGCATGGATTGTTATTCTTTTTATTATTGCCCTTTTGTGAGCCTCTCCTCTCCCCTGCTCGTTAATTACTAATGAGACGCTTTTAAGCACTTTAATTAACTTTAACGCGTGGGTTCAATTTATTTTAACGAGACTGTTAGAGGTGCCAAATATTATGCCATCACTAATTTATTAAAAAAATAACCTGGCATTGTTCCCACTGTACAAAGTTTGGATTTTTCCTAAATTATTGATGTGCAATGGTACCACTGCTGTTTTCTTTATATCTATATGTGATTTCATCTGTACAGATAATTTGAACAAATTGGCCATGTCTGTATTTTCAAGCTGTGGATGCACAGGACTGTCAGAATCAGTCATGTGTTGTAGTAACCATAAATATACACTAGATGTCACTAGATTCAATGTGACGGATCTGCACCATGAGAGATGAGGAAGTTACAAATAAAGAATTGCAATTGACATGTTTAATGTATTTGAGCTTTGGAAAGAAATCATTTGTTCACTTTTAGGAACATTTCTTAAGATTCAATTTCTAGATTACCTCAAAATGTAGTAAGGGAGTCAAGACAGTACACTGTAAATACATTAAATAAAGGTCCAAAGCTGAAATATAAGAGTTTTGTAAATATCTAAATTTTGATGCTGTAAAATCTATGGATCAAAGCATGTGTTTTATTTAGTCAATTGTAGTTTCAATATTTAGGTCAAGGTTCTGAAACTTGTATAAGATATGTCAATTCATATCTTATACAACTGATCTTGATAACTTTGGGTAAAAATGATCAAGGACAGGCAAATTTTTAAACAAAGCTATAATAACTAATGAAAGTTTATAATTTCTTTCTCTTTTTTTTTCATGGAACAATGTCACTAAATTTCCACCAGAGAATAACCCTTAGAGGGAAAAAAGACAATGTACTTCTTTTACTCAAAACCAACATGAATTAGTGAATTTTTAAAAATAAAAACAAATTCTCAATAATTCTAAGTCGTCCTTTTTCAAAAGTTAATGTAACATCAGCAACTGAATTTGTTTTATTTAGCTGGACTGACAGCAAACATGTCTGTTTGGATTAAGTTTTCACATCATTGGTTGAAGGGTATAGATAATTTGTAGATTTAAAAAAATGACTACATTCACTTGAATAATACCAGCGAGTGAGTTCATGTTGTGCAAATTTTTTTATTTATTTTGATCTCAAAGCCTTAGACTTTTTTAAGCTTCATATCATATCATGTTACTCCCTCATCAAAAACATTGAGTGTTGCTTTGATTCGTTTTAGAAACTCTGTGTGATTGGAGGAATGTGTCTTGTAGTATAAACACACCAAATGATCAACAGGAAATATTTAATTTATTTAATTTATTCCAAGAAACTGATGATTTCTAATGTGTTTGACTGATGTTAAGCTAACATAAAACCTTTTTTAAATGCCTTTAAAATTCTAATACTACCAACAGAAGAAGAAAATGGCATATAAAAACAGATACATGCGTGAATATAATACAAAGAACAGTCAGGGCCTGAATATACAACAAGGTTCCAGCGCAGCTTTTTAATGATGAATGGTGTGGATGAATCACAGAGATAAACATGCGTATTAATCCACCTTGCCCTATGCCCTAGTTTTCCTCTCAGTGTCACTGTCGTCCTTAAACAATGTGTCAGAGGAGGAAATGCTACTAGCCTGGCCTTTTTATCGAATTATTGTGTTTGCCTGTCACTCAGCTCTTAGCTTCATCATAGTTATTTGAAAACATTCTTGTCATTATTGTTGCAAACCTGGCACAAAGCCCCTTAATTGAGTGCAGCTTAACTTGCAAGGCAACCTCTGTGTAAACACTCAGATAAGTTACACATCAGCTTCTGGAGTCTGGGAAGAAAGAAAGAAGATTCTGTCACGTTCACAAACATTTCTCGTACATTTCCTTTACAAGACAATTTGTGCTTTTCTTTTTGTGAGTGTGTGTTAAAATATGTCTGATAACCTGATGATTAATTGTGTGTGAGAAAGGTGACCTCTGGAAACAGAGGAAAAATCATTTGACTGCTTTATAGCTGAATGACAAAGCATCACAGCTCTACGGCAGGTTCACTGACCTGCTTCGGGTCGTTAAACGGACCGTCGTGACGGCCAATCAGCCAATCACAGAATCTAAATATCTGCCCACTTACCTCATTTAAAACCTCAACACACATCATGTCTCTATCTTAAGATATGAAGTTTGTTAGGGTTAGGGTTAAATGACTTAAATGACTTCACGCCAAACATAAGGATTGGTTTACGGCTTTGCGGAAAGCAGTCGTCACTGCCGCTGGGTGACACATTCTGGAGCAAGTTTTTTTATCTTATCTTGGTATCATAAGTGTCGAATGAAAACTCCACTCCGTAAAGACGTAGCTCTTCTATTCCACAGTGTAGGAAGATAAACACTGCTCAATCAGTTCATCTGATCTCAGTGATACTTTACCCATTAAGTATTCTCTTATTGGATAAAATGTCATCAAGGTACTAGAACTCCCCCCAAACATTTCAGTTTGAGTCCTATGTTTTGAAGTTAATGTTAGTGACTTGATTTTCACATTTTCCACCGCTATTTCCATCATTTTAAAATATTGAGAAATTAAAAGATTACTGTAAACTTATTTACGCCACTGGCATGAACAATGTTGAGCTGAACCTCCAGAGGATGATAGTAGGAAATGGGATTTATTTGCGTTGTTATTATTAAATGTCAAATTTCTTCATTCATGTAAGTTTAAAAATACACATTTTGATTGTACCTAAAATTACATTTTGCACACCAACGTTGAAGACCTTGGATGGTTGTTGAAGAGATAGGGGCGTGTCCGGGAGGAAACCCACGACCTTATCCAACTCTCAAGGAACTCTCACCAACTAATACTTCAGACCAAATAGTATTTCCAAGCAGGAATGGACATGGCTGTCAATGTCCAGTTTTAAATTCACATTATATCTCAGCTATATGGCTCCTATTAGATGGCCGGCTACATAAGTGAAAAGTATGTCAATGTTGTTGCATTTGATGCAGAAAAACTGGAAAATGTGTAGATTAAAATAACAAGAATGACCACAAAAAAACAAAAAGCAAACATATAGGCCTATTAACAAATATTGGAATCAAGACCTGCTATTTGCAGTAAGTCTTAGTGTCCAGTTATTCTAGCTCTTGTGTTCAAGAGTATCAAAAAACACAATGTAACTGTGATCTACTCAAGTGAACAGTGGCCAAGGGGGCCACATTGTCCATTACACATTTCTTTTACATATATTCTATGAATGCATTCACTTTACAATTCTTAATAATAATAATAATAATAATAATAATAATAATAATAATAATAATAATAATAATAATAATAATAATAAAAGCAGTCTTCTTCCCTCTCTGATCAATTTGGATTTTGACATTTGATAGTGTATCGCCGAGGCTTGATTCCGCCCATATTAAGTGACTGAGTCATCGGTACCGGATGGCTCCTCCTCGGAGGGTTGGGTCCGGAGATTTAAGCAACAAAAAAAAAAAAAAAAGGGAAGAGGAAGCTGAGCTAACTTAGCAGCGACACGCGTTTCCTCCGTTTGGCAGCCAGATTTCAACAGACCCGGGCGGTTCGCTTTGGCAGCAGCAGTGAGTAGCTTTCTTATACAGTTTATTGAGAAACTGAATAACTGTATTTTTTTTTTGTTTTTTTTGTTTGTTTTTTTTTTTGTTTTTGTACCAGGAGTTGTTTTCAGTCGGGTTTGGTTTGAGGAGGGGGGAAAATGAGGAGGAGGAGAATAATAAGTGTGTAAAACGCGACTGTTTGTGTTAAAACCGCTTTACAGAATTGTATTTTATGTTTTCCTAAATGTTGACAGCAGGTCCACTGTTACTTTATTTCTTTCTGTTTGTTTGAAGTGTTCAAAGTTCCACCCGGCGTGGACTCGGGAGGCGTATCCTGCTCAGGAAGGGAACTTGTGGCGTCTCTACATTTGCATCTCAATCCGCTTGTTTGCTCAGGCTAATTGTTCAGGTTATTGTTGAGGGTGTCACGTTTGCAGCTGTGCAGCGCGAACAATGGGCGCCGAGAGGCCGCTGTGGTGTGAAGTGCAACTGATCTGGACGTGAAGGTGATGATGAGGAGGAGGAGGAGGAGGAGGGCCAAGCTGCAGGTTGGATTGT